ACGTTACAAATTGTAAAATAAATTTATTGTATAAAGGTTTATAATAACATATAATTATTTTCCATAAAGTAATGGAAGAATTGTTACGTTTAAACAAACTATTGCTTAGACAATTCTATATGTTACGTAATTATGGAATTAGATTTATAACTTAATAAAAAGTAAAGTAACAGCCTAAACATATCCCACTCCTGGAAAAGGCCTTCTCTATACAGATGGTGTCTAACCTAATATCTACAGAAAATAATAGAAGATTTACACATTCATTATCATATTCATCTTTTCAGTCTTTTCGAGTCCACTGCTTAACATATATATTAAATATTATAAAATTTTTAGTTAATAATTTATCAAAGGAAGAAAGACACAAAACGATTAATCACATAACAGCAACGTAATTTTACTCTGTGTACAAATTCTTGGTGAAATGTACTCGGGAATGGACAATTACGGTAAACGGTCCATTTATCTTGAGCTACATAACTTTCTTCCACCTAACCAGAAATGTTGGACCGAACATATTGTTTAAGCTTCATATCGAATACCGTCCGTAATTATGCACCATTTTCGATACAACCGCTACCTCCAACTCATTCCTTTATTCATGCCTGCTTTATTCATTGTCGAAAAATAGAATCCATTTGCTCGATTTAATTTTTATTTCTAATATTTGGGCATGACATTCAGTGATGTAATACATAAATTTAACGCTCTTGTTAATTTATCTTCAACGCACCTATTGTTCAACTTTCATCACTGTCAACCATTGACCTTTATTTACCCTCTAAGTATGCAAACTACGAAATCAGTCATCAATTAGAAGCCGCAACCGTCCAAACATGGGTTAACGATCCAACAACTAGACTACTATTGCCGCAAATAATTACAGCCTTTTAATCTCTAATTATACCGATTCATTCATAATAGTAATTAAAAAAGCGATTGTTTGGCTTCAACTCTGCACTGTCAGGCGCTGATAAGTAGAATTAAAATTAATTTAGTTAATGTAAAAGGCTTAGTCATCACGATCGTAATAATTTTACGTTATTAGCGCTAAAATCCCACAAATACATGAAGGTTCCAAGAAACAAACAGTTTTAATTGAAGAATTGTAGTGTTGGTTTTTGGAATGTGGCACAAATTCGCCTATGGCATTTAATGGCTATAAAAATTTTCAATATTGAATATTTACTGTAGAATACTAAAACTAAAATATCGTATAATAATTGCAATTATTATTAGTTGCAAAATAGTAGAAAATTAATTCATTAGACATTGATATTTAATGGTTTCCTGGGATCCTTTATAGAAACAACGTTCTTTCTACTGGGTATGGTTGGGTTAGGTTTGTTAGGTATGTTTGTTTGTTTGGAAAAATATGTAATTCACATGTTCTAGAAAAAATACTACAATTGTTAGTACCGCCCGTAGTTGATGATGCCTCTCTCCCGTGCGTCACCCAGATGGTTAACGACGTCGCGGTGAGAATCAACTTATTTGAAGAAAATCTGAGACAGTTCACGCGGGTGGCGCTGTGGGTCATTTGTTACATGGCATCATTTGTAGTATATGTATTTATTAAGATAATGGAATTCTGTCTAATGCTATCGCAAAGAGAGTAAGTCTGTTATCGCAGCTGTTATGGGAATAAATAAAAAGATACTTGAGTGAGACCCATAAAAATTCTATTTTATGTACCTCACTAGTCCTGCAATCTCGTTTTTAGAGTATTATGTAAGAAGCCGGGCTAAAGTTTCAATTAACAGGGTGAAAGCAATTAATAAACTTTTTAGTTCTAACGTTTTTTTTAATTCATATTCAAAATCAAAATCAAAATCAAAAATATATTTATTCAAATAGACGCTTGCGCGCTCTTATGAATCGTCAAATTTTACATCAAAGATTATGTGTATTAGTGATAAGGTACCACTATATATTAATATTGTAAAAGGTGGTGAACAAACTAGTGCTAAAATCGTAATATTTAAGAAAAATAAAGCTTGCTACAAAAACTCGACGATTAAAACATCGATGGACAAACTCTTGAAGTGGGAAGTATATTTAAATCAAAAAAATTAGCCTCTTTGGCCTATCACTGAATAATTTTGGGTCTTATTACGGAAACAATTTTTGCATTAATTATTCACGGCATTTACAAATTACATTAATATACGCATCAGAATATTCAGATGAAACAGGGGTTGAAATTGATAATTGCGGTTAGAGATTTAAAAAAGATAATTTATCAAAAAGGTGAGGGTCGATTTTTCCTTCATTCGTTTAAGTATAGCCCTAGAGCAAATAATTTTTGATGAAAAAGCCAGTATAGGTATATATACATTTATTACATTACTTCGAAAGGGAAAAGCGAGAAAAATGGAAGTAAAAAACAGTATTTCAAAGTCACCTACAGGTTGTCGACACTTGACTGACGCCGTACAAATAGCTGGGAATAGTATTGGGCATTTCATGTGAAATAAAAGGAATTTATTCCGATTGCCACACGACCTTTCGCAATTCCAATAATATTCCAGAATAGGGCTCTCCAAGTGACAGGTAACAAAATGCGATGACCTCCCACTTGCCTAAAAGTTTTTTACAAAACTTAAAACGCATTCTTCCATACAATTTTGGATTCGTTTACAGTAACACAGAACAAACACATAACAGTTAAGGGATGGCGTAGCGATTATTACATTACCAATGTCAAGAAATGATAATAAAGAAAGAATAATCAAACAAATATTTCTGAATAAAAATATTATATCACGTTCATTCTGATTTTCAGTTTTAAATAAAAGTTATATAAACCGTACAAACAGACCAAGATTAGCAGAATGACAAAATTGTAATACAAATTGACAATTACATTTACATTTCTGCATTCGACATCAAAAATTAATTTTAATGGATAACATGTTTTCATCAATTATATTCTCGGCAGTCGCGATTGAATAGCGTACATGGACTTCACATAAATGTTATATTGGAAAAAAAACAAACAAGCGTGAAGAAATTTTACTTTTTTTTAATAAAAATTGCATATCAACGGAATGACAAAAGCTATAGGTATATAAAATTTTCTTTAATTATAACAAAAGTCATTATTGAACGATATTGTATTACCTTAATACGTACGTCGTAGCAATTTTTAATATGTAAAGGCAGGCTGAAATTTATCAGCTATTACACATGCTAGTTTTAATTGCCCTTTTTTCGACTTTAAATTATTTATCGTCTCAATTTGCAATATCGTTAGAACAAGTTCGCACGACATAAAAAGAGGGTCGGATTAAGTCGCAGCACCAGAGCATGAACTACGCAATTATAGCGGACCAAACATGTAATTAATTTACGCCGGTTTAACTCGCGAATATTCACCAAACAAATATGCGGCGTCAACCGTTCACCCGACTCTAACTTTATTTAACTGCTTTTGAAGGTTGCCATATATTCGTCCGAAGTAATTATTTAAGCCGAAGTGACTTCAAATTCCAGACTTCCTTTTAATATTGTAACGTGGTCATGAATGTTTCTATATCTACCGAATGATATACGAACTATTACCCCCTAGTTCACCTATGTGAATTTAGTTTAATTCTATGACTAGGGTAAGTTAAAATTCCTGTTTTCAGAAATTACTTACGGTTAGTTCTTGGTTTAAAATTTTTATACTGTATCTACGTAATTCTGTCAAATATACGCTTTCAGTGTCATTTCGCTAGCAAAGGTACATCTTCTATCATCTAAGACATCTAATTTTTACCTCTTTCGTTTTACTTTGTAGTCAAGAGTTCAAAGTGTGATTAAGTTCAAATATTTTTTTACAAATTACTGAGTAATATAGGATACTGACTTGGTGGCACAGTTTCTAAATCATTGGCTTCGGAGCTGAGGGTTGAACAGTCAATTCACACACGAGGCAAGTACTTGTGTGACCCAGAAAATTATTAACTTAGCCAATTTCATTAAAAACATGATCCACATGTTGGGCTTACCCTAAATAGGAGAAAAATGTAGAAAATTGGGGCATTTCTTAAGAAATAATTTAAGTTACATATTAATATTTATCAGCAATGACACTCACAACGAATAGGTTGATTGTTGTTTCAGCAAAAATATTATGCTTTTATCAATTACAACGCTAATTTCAGTTATCAATTTGTTTATATATCACATATATAAAAATATGTTAAAATTCCTTTAGGAAACTCTTACGGGCGTTCAAACGTTGCCGATGCTCTGTAAAACTTGGCGAAGTATTTAAACAATAAAATTCTCCAGCGAGCAAAAGACGAACGTAAGGATTTCCAGCTGTCACAGCCAGATTTCCATAACCATTGCAGCGATTCCCAGTATGTTAGGCGGCTCGCGTTGGCGGCGCGCCAAACAATTACTTTGTCTCGTCAAGAGCGTTTCTCCTACTGATGGGACTTGAATGTTTCGCCTATAACGCTTAAGACATATTTAAATTTCACTCTTTAGGGAAACGGGCCATCTGAAATACTAAAATATTATCGAACGTTGTCTAAAATAGCTTTCGTATCAGGAGAAAGAGTTATTAATTTTATGGAGTTACTAATGACGGGAAATCGAATACAGTCAGTAATGTCTCTATTTTATATCAGCTTGAATTATTAAATTATTTTAAAGGAATTGATGCGAGTGGGTATATACTCGTAATGATAGATAGAAAATACAAATACCATTACAATACCTATTTTTATACAGACAGTTAATTTTAAAATATATTACAGTTAATTTTAAAATCGTAGAAAATGCAAGATGTGTCGGATAACATTACAAAATGCCAACTATGTACGGGTTACTTAGGAATTTACGTAATTTTTAAATTAATTTGACGTAAAATTAAAAACACGAAAAGGAAATAAATAAAAAATATTAACCATAACTAGATAGGACTGGGAATTCTATTCCTCTAGTTTTATGATTGTATTTATTCATAACATGGAGAAAAAGAAAAATGTTAAAGTTCTCACCTAAATCTTCGGCATCTTCACTCCATTCGCCTGTGCCTCCTACCAAAATGGCTGAAGTAGCTGCTATGATGACTTGCCATAGGGTTGCCTTGATCACGTAAGTCGGTAAGTTTAACATTTTTCCAGACATTGTCTAAGACTAGATTGAAACACGTAACATTACGAAACCGACAATCAACTACATTATCATTTACATAACAGTAACTACAGCTTAATTTCATTTAGTAATTAATCTACAGCATTACAACTTGTTCTATTCTTTATTACTTTTTAAATTCTAGTTATGAATAGAACGTAAATAGGATTCTGTGTATATGAAAAAATCATTTGTAACTTATCTATTACTAGTCCATATGAATTTAAGTTACTATGAAGTCTAATTTGAATTTTTTCTATTTATTTAACGTTTTAATTATTACATCAACTCAATGTAAATGTTAACACAAAAGGATGCAATAAATAAGTTCTTTTGGTTTTGGCTATGAATCTTTGATTTGTTATTTCGTCATATTCAATTTTATCTTATCATGTATGCCAGGTGTTTGGGACGCGGTTAAATATGCCGATGAATTATTCAGGACTTCTCGCAGTGCTGCGCGTTCGAGGACACCGGCCACCTGAAACAAAGTAGACGCAGTCTCATTTATGTCCGAAATATACTTAGACAAATTTTGCAAATTAGAAGGGAATATCAGATTAAGTCTGCGCTCGAAATAACGAATGAATCATCTTCTATACTTATAATAAAAATATAAATGATCGTTGTCTGTACATGGGAGATATTTGAGAAAAACTAAAAAACAAAGATTGTTAAAATTTTTCTCTGTTTGTCTGTGCCTTTGTGCAAGCTAAAGTCAGAAACGGCTTAACCGATTTGGGTGCAACTTTCATTCATGAATAGTAGTAAACTTCACTTAAAAATGAGTGTAAATTTTATTTAAATCGGTTCATAAATAAAAAAAAAGATATATGAACTTAAAAAACCACATTGAAGATTTGTGCGATAAAATTCTATGTAATAGCTACAGTTTAATTGGATGAAATTTCATCCAATTAAACTGTAGCTATTATATATTATAAAAAATAAATTATGCTAAAATATATTATGGTCTATAAAATAACGATGATTGTGAGTTTATATAAAGTAAAAAAAATTGGCCAGTGCTTAGTTCTTAGTTCTGTAGTTCCGTAGGTACTTTTTGAGCACGATATAAAATGTAGTACATGGGGGTGGAGCCGCGGGTGTAAAGCTAGTCTTTAATATTCTTAAAGAACTATTTAGAATTTAACATAATATATGCACTATATTGAAACTTACATTCAAATGTAATATTGAATTAAATATAATGAAATTGCATAGCAATCTTATGAAAAATTATGTTTTTGCAATATTATATTCGTATTAATTGTTGGAATTAGGAGCGGTATGTGTAATATTTAAATCCTATAAATGATACTACATTAAATTCCCTTTTCCTATTACTAAATATCATTACTATATCATTGTTCATTTTCACCAATTGGGTATCAACAGGGCCTCAGTTTCTTTCGATAAATTTTGTTCCGGCTTTGAGGAAAGTTCTAAACATTCTGCTCTTTGATTTATTTTACGGCCCAATACACAAATGGTTAAAAGAGCATGAAAATTAGCCCCACAGTTAGTTTTTTTTTGTTTCGCAATTTAATTGCAGAATATTTTTTAAACTACTATTTAGCAAAAATTTAAACATACGTCTATTCAGATTTTATCTTTTATAGTCAATTTACCTAAAAGTTTTAAACACAAACTTAATTGTTTATTAAAGACTATTGCATCTAATTTTTTTAAATTATTTCTTTATTTCCAAATCCTAGCACCAACCTAGATAGCTTTAAATAAACAATAGAAACAATAGTTGGTAAACAAGCTTGGACAAATAACAAAAAGTGCCTAGTACGTGAAATATTGTTGTAATTTATGTTAATGTAAACAGTATCAAGTAACACAATATTACAAAAAGTCAAGTAGTTCAAGTCTTTATCAGAAAATATATTCAACCATTAATTCGTCTTTAATAACATGCCTAAGCCTCGCATGTTTCACCTGACTACGATCCTAACCGACTCACACTTTTGTGGATTTGGCCGAAAACCAATTATTTCTTCCGAAAAATAAATAAACTATTTACCGATTCAGTTTCCCACTTCCTTGTTTTATCACAAGCACGCCCGTTCATGTGCTCGGGACGTGAATAGTTGGCTATCAACAAGTACGCAGTTCGCGGGTCGAGAACTACGTAAGAAATGCATGCATCAATGTCACAAATCTTGTATATGGGCACGTGTATTACAACGCGCGGCGCGCGGTTAACTGGCTCGCTTACGTCGATGCGTGTTTCCAGTTGCTTGTGATAGGGGCGGCTCGGGGCGAGTCGGCCGCCCTCGCCTGCCCTCGCCAGGTGAGCTTCGTCTCCCTGGCACCGTACTCCGCAGGCACATATTAATTACTCGCTTCTAAATTAGTGCACTGACCGTGCAAAACTTTCTTATCAAATGGCTCCCGAGTACTTAATTCTCACTCCACATCGACACGTTTAAAACTAAAAGGTGCGGCTGCAAAACCTTTTTTGTAAACCTGTTATGATCATTTTAAATTCATAATATTGTACAGAACTATCGAATTGTTTAATATTAAATTATATTAAGCTATTAACCCGAACACCTTTAAAAATTGTGTATTTACAATTGTTATTTTACTGCAGATTCTATATCACGTGTTCCAAAAGTCTGGAACACATACGTAGTATATGAATATATAAACTTATTGCACAAAAACCAAAGAATTAATATGTATTAATTCTTCGATTTTTGAGCGATATGTTTCTGGTTTAAATGGTCCAATATATGGAACTATAATGTAATTAGATGCAGGTTTATAATGAACTGAAACCCCGTATAAGCATGCTGCAAGAATAAGTTTTAACACGCGACATTTTTGTAAATGTACAATACGTCTTCTGACATTTTAGTTTTATTTATTGCAATCAATTTCATTTTATTTTAATTAATGCATATTGATGTGTATACTGTTATATAAATAATATTAATGTATACTGTAATTAATAAACCCATGCAGACCAATTTTTTTTCCTCTGTGTACTAGTTTTTAAACTCACGAAAATTGTTAGAAAATATAGTAACTGCCTAATTGCTGGAACAAAAGCTTTCTTTTTATTCTTTCTCAAACTTCGTAAAAATAAATAGGACATCGCTGTTTCTTCCAATTATTTATTTATTTATTTATCCTTTATGCACTAAAAGTACAAAGGCGGACTTAATGCCGGAGGCGAATTATCATTTAAATGTTTATTTTAAATAATAATGGGTGATACTAGAGTATAATAATTGTATTGTTATGGTACTTGGAGCTTATAAAAGAAATTATCAACGGGCCACGAACCGTTAAAGCAAATATAGAGACACCTAAACTCCACCCCGCTCTTATCGATGGCCTAAAACGTTTATGAGAAATTCGTGCCAGAGTTAATCTTCGTTGCTTCCGTTCTCAATAGCTGAAATATCGAACTACAAACTGTTATGAAGTATTTCAGAAAGTATTATAAAATGCTTTTCTAAAAATATTGAACAATCGAGAATATTAATAAGTTTCATTCATTATTACATGCTACAGAAATTTAATGTGTAAATAACGATATAAAATTCTTGTTGGTCATTATTTCGATTTATATTTATGTTTATTTTTCAAATCAATGTTTATAATACTGTTTTCTGTAACCCAACTTAATAACATTTTTTTTTGTAAGTGTATCTCGTTATTTAAAAAACAAGGTACCAGAGCAAAACTTGCTTCATAGTAAGTAAGGGTCATCGCCCATGAACACCAATAATTTTTAAAACATGTTGCCTACCACGGAGTGATGTTACGTTTACCTTCCAAAGTATAAATGTTTTATTGGTACTACCCTGGTCAAACTGGCCTATTCGTGCAGCAAGAGAGCTGGAGGGTTATGTAAGCTGTTGTTGCTCTACTACTCTAAATACTTATGTGCTGGAAATAGTTTCTACTTACGAATTTAAACTACATAGATTTGTGGATAAATGACATTAAGAATTATTTAACTTTATTTTTAAGTGCTTAATTGCCCTTAAGAAAAAGAATTTTATTTGAATTTGAACTATATATTGTCGAGAATTTTTTCGCGCGCTGTTAGGATTCGAACCTGCGACTTATAGGCGTCCAGACGCAAAATTTATCAGCTGATGTCCTCCGTGGGTGAAAATAACAGCTCTCTAATTTTTTTTTAATTCCAGCAACGCTTGAGATCAACTATCGAGCTTTGTTCTATCTTCATTATATTAACTATTCATCTAGATGTTAAAAAAATTTGTCGGAAAATTATTATCATTTCTTAATATAACTTGTTTTCTATGATATCATATTTCTAGCAATAGAGTAGCAATTTGCAGTGATAAAGAAAAATACTTTCCTGATATTATTTGAATTTCATCTACCCTGCACGCCCAGCATCACCCAAAAATGTACGTACGATATTATGAACAATGCTTCAAACGAAATAACCTGTCAAATTTACGAATATTCATCGCAATGATTCCATATATTCCTTTCTCTATGTTGATGATCTCATATCTTATATGTTATTAATGCTAACAATCTCTGTTCAATATCGTCATAGTATTATTCAAATATTTCATAGCATATAGGTACATTTATTAAAGTGTATACAGTACCGGACTTTAATCAGTGTAGAGCAAGATGTTAAGAGATGTCTTTCCGCGCCCTTTAGTCAGTGCTTTTACTTTACATATTTTTTTATAATGCTTTATGTTAAATAAACAACAATAACCAATTTTTTGCAAATCAAATTGTAAATGTTTGTTGATAAGGGATCAAAACTTTCAGCGCTACGGTATTCTAACCTGGATCTTCTGGTTTCGCGCAAAGACGCTTTACCAACTAAACTAAGCAGCCGATTACGAGTACGTTCTTTCTACTGCATTCTTATCAGTGCTTGACATCTCTCGTTACAAATTTTCATCGTTGAATGTTCTTTGTAACTTGTTGTATGCTGTAAAGGATGCACACTAGATGGCGCCAAGCATTGCTAAACGATAGTAGATAGATGTTAAGATTTTCGCGCCATGAGGACATCAGCCGCCCATAGATATTTGCAACACCTACGGGTGTTAGAATGTCTATGGGCGGCGGTTATCACTTAACATCACGTGAACCGCCAGCTAGCTTGCCACCTTCTCATATAAAAAAGATAGATAAGAAAAACCTTAACGAAATTTACTATGATTATATTAAGTACCTGGAGGTTTGTTTTTTTTTTTTTTTTGGTAAATCGTGTATTTTGGAAATTACATTTAGATACAAATTACTGAGTAATGAAATATGCATAATATTTTTCGATCTTACCGACGTAATAATAAGAAAATATGAGCTGGTGTTTTTTCACAAAAGAAAGAACTTTAAAAAAAAGGGAAAAGAAGAACAAAATCATCTGGATCGACAAAAATAAAAAATAAAGAAAGCAATGATATGGAATCCAAAAAAAGTAAAAAAATAAGTGTGTAAATGATCGTGACACGAACCACGGCCTTCTGTTTCGGGGCCGCCCGATTACCGACCGAGTTATTATAACATTTTTATTGCGGCGAAACTTACCGTCATATTCGAATAATATTTTTCATTCCCTGAAATCAGGGATAAAAGGATATTTTCTAAAAATGAAACCTAGCTAGATCGATTTTTCGCCCCCGAATCTACGCACATACTAAATTTCATGAAAATCGCTGGAGCCGTTTCCGAGATTCCGATTATATATATATAATCGGAATCCAAAATATGCCAACTACCGCTAATATTTGTAAATGATGATGTAAAGCTTTACTAAAGCTGAAAATCAGCACTGAGAAATTCTCATAAATCGCTGAGCTTATTATCCTTTTTGCCAAAATGTTATTTATATAGTTTTTTTGTGTATCATAATTTGTTTTATATTTTTTTTTCATATTTTTCTATGTAATTTTCATTTTTTTTGGGTTATGGCAAATAAAGTATTATTATTATTATTATTATTATGTTGGGGATATTTCTTTGTTTTCTAGTCTGGTTGGGTTTTATTATTATTATTATGGGGGGGATATTCATTTGTTTTCTCGTCTGGTTGGGTTTATAAATAAAAAAAAGTATTATTATTATTATATATGTATATATATAAGAATTGCTAGTTTAAAGGATTTAAAGGATAACATATACTGACTACTTTTAAACTTACTTAAATTATTAGTTCCTAAAATATAAAATGTCATAACGGGCTAAAAATTTTAACAAAAACCATATTATGACGTATTATTTTAATACACTATTTGATCATAAAGTAATGAATAACCTTTACGACTATCCTGTGTTTACTGTTAGAAATAACATCCCTAGGCGTAACTATATCCTTCTATAATAAAAGGATGTAGTCCCGCTGAATTTCTAGTTGTCCGATGATGGAATAGGGAGGAAGGAATTAAATTGCAATAGGGAACATCGAGAACATGGCTACTCTGCGACCGTGATCCCTCCCATGGGAAGGCAGTCATGTGATCCCTCATGTCAGATGGGCAGGAACATAAGTGCTTATCCTTCTGTACTTTAGTTCCGGGATCTTAGAATGAGTGTAAGGCATGCGCCATCAAAAAAGGCAACTAAAAAGTGGTACGAGATGAGTGCTCTCATTGTGGTACCTTTATTTTTTGTGAATGGGGATGAGGTAATAAATATCCAATTTTGAGGGCAAATTGGTCTGCAAAGATCGTGGAAATGGAATATTCGTAACGTCTACCTACTTTACCTTGAATGGAATACCTTAATATAAAGGTACATGTACAAATTATTTTGGGCCTTAAGACAAGTTTTAATGATTTTAAATACTTTTTTGTAGTTATAACAAGTTCATATCATAATTCAGTATGTCATTTTCTCTCATTCGTTTTAGATAAACGTAGTAAAAAGATATTTCACAAAATGCATCTTGCCTAAGCCTAAACTTCTTAACAATCTTCATCGAATTTCCCCGAATTGTCCCGCCAGCGTTTCGATGAAAATGCGGAATAGTGTTAAAAAAATCATTCTCCTTAAATCCAACTGTTTTCCTTTTTTGTTGACAAAAGTAAAAAGAAAACTCATTTTATTCACATAAAAATGAATCGTTCTAATACACGAGTAACATAATGTTACTCGAGAATTACTGTTGTCATCGTATCGTTTCGTAATGCTTTAAAATGAAAATGTATTAATGGTACAAAATAATATTAGAATATCACACACTGATAAGATTTTAATTGTGATAAACGAAAACCACACTCTTATCAGCCATTTTAAATGTTTATGGGAAACCCAGGCCGAAGTTAATCTTCCCGGCTTCCGTTCTCGATAAACTAAAATTTCGTTCAGCAAACTGTTG